AGAGATTATTAAATATTGCAAGCAAATCTTTAACTACAATCATTAAATTGCTCTTATATCTTACTCCCTCCGTCCTTTTATTGGAGTCTCATTTCTCTTTATTATGTGAGTAATAAATGTTAGAAATTGAACTCTAATAAAAGGACGGATGGAGTAGTATACACCACGTCACCACATGTACCATTTGGACGGGGTTCAATTTCGCTTTAAAATGACAAAAAAAGACAAAAAAATTAAAGTTTCTTTTCAAATAATGAACTACTTTTATTTTTTCTCATAGCAAGTTTCTTGTTCAAATAGGATGATCCACTAACATATTAACAACCCTTATTTCAAAAAATATTATCTTTAATTTAGGATTAGTACTCCAAATTTGTTTTGTTTCTTTGTTATTATCAGAGATGAGAATATTCAACTATTGAGGTAAATATTAGACTTGTTCTTTATGTTTAATTACATGCTATAAAAGGTAATGACTCGTTTATTAATTAATAGTTAATCATATTTGTAAATTGTATTGTGAATAGATGAAAAATGATGGTACTCATAACACTTTTTTTTGTTGATAATGCGTTTGGAAATGACAAAAAATGCTAGTTATTGGCGGGCAAGTATGAAATAAAAACGGCCAATATGTCAATTTCATTATCTTTTATGTGCTTGCTTTTAGATGTATTGAGATTTGAGAGTATCAACTATCAAGTGTCTTTTTGCTGCTTTGTGCATGAATGGCTACAATTTAAAAAGTTGATTGCTCTATATGTTTCTCTTCATCTTCTTGTACGGTACAAAAACCATACTTCATCCGTTTCCAAATTAACACACGATATGTGCAACCTATTTGCATTTTTTTTTAAAGAAACACCCTATTTACAATTATATTAATGTACAACGATCTATTTGAAATATTAACTTTTTTTTTTTAAGCTAACTTTAATTCTGATGAAATGTTTAATTAGGGTAATATATACACCATTTTTTTCTTTAAAAAAAAATAAAAATAGGTGTTTACTTAAACGCTCTATGCACAATTTTTTTTTACTCTGTAGTTAATAGTCAAGGGGTGCTATTTTAGTATGTTCAAAATGTGGGTATAACGACTCCAACCTTTCAAGCAATAACATAAACACGACAGCTATCCCTATAATCATAAATAGTTGACACGTTTAATTTAACTATTTAAGACACTATTCATACACTAACTTTGACCATTGTTTTTTGTTTGCATATGAAAACCAAATTTTATCATGAAATATATATACAAAGGTGTTAACATCTAATACTCCGTATCAACCATACATATGTGAAAAGTTTTTTTATTCCAAGTGGACCAAAATCTTTTATTAGAGGAAAATTTGTTAGAAAAGTCTTTTTATGTTTACCATTATGTGAAAAAAAAAAGTAAAAAAAAAAAAATTGGCAACAAAAGTCCTTATAAGTGATTTTTTATAGAGAGCCTTAAGGGCGGATGATGAGAATCAATATCCTGAAATCGGAAGGAAAGCTCTAACCAATTGAGCTATTCAAGTGATTGTGTGTTGGGACCTTAAATACTCCATTTCTTGAGAGTTCACCAATACGTGATAGACACGTAATATTAAAAGAGACTCAAAGACTTCCTTTTTGACAAATTTTCCTTTAGTAAAATGAATATTAAATTATTATGATATTCTTTTTCCGTGTGTTTATAGGTGTTCGCAAATTGACCGTAGATGACTTAATATAAACTAGAAAAAAGGGAGGAAAGTTAGAATAAATAGGCTACAAAATTTATAAATGGAAATCATCAGATCAATATGAAAGTGAAATGTTAGTTATGAAATTAAACTAGGCATCTTTAATTTAATTAGATTTAGATTAAAATAGATATTAGAAAGAGGAGAAAACCTATAAAGTCTATGAAAAACTATAAATTAAAAGATCAAATATGAATCATGATTATTAGCAAAAAAAAAAAAAAAAAGCTAGCAAAGTTATAATCTAAAGCATAAATCTATTGGGAATGCAAAGATCCTTATTGGGAAAATTTAAAGAGTCAAATACTATTTACCTTTTTATTGATTTTTTTACAAGTTCAAAAATCATAGGCCTTATTAGTACAATTTTACTCAATTTTAACAAAGATTTTACTCTTAACTTTAGCTTTAGATTTGAGTAATTTTACATGACAAATAAATAAAAAGTTACTAACTAGGAAAAGCTGCATTTGTTTTTATGTTAATTTAAGTTATTGGTCTTCTTTTTTGCTTTCTTCCGGATCAAAACCGTGCAGTAATCATTTCCATCTTAAAAGGATAGTTTAACTAGAAGAAATTGTAAGAACATAATCTTCTTTTAGCAAATCTGAAAAGTTTTCTAGGATAGCTTCACCTTTACTTATACTCTTCTTAACTAGGAGCCCAAAGAAAGGTATATTGAAGTAAAAAGATAAAAAGAAAGCCGGTTGATTTGTTTTAGCTTTGCAAACGAGTCAGACGGAGCAAAATTTCAATCTATTTGTTTGATCTACTCTTCATACAAATTGGGATTTTTTGTCAGAAACTACCTTTTAAAAGCAATTTTTTATGAGAAATTACCTAATAAAAAAAATGTTGTAAGAAACTATCGATTAAAATAAAATTGTTGTAAGAAACTACCTGTTAAAGCAAATAATGTTGTAAAAAAGCTATTATTTCTCGATTTTCGTTTTTGGCTAATTTCTCCGGTGTTGACCATGTTCGGCTGGTCACATGATAGGTGGCAATGTGACATTGTTGGTGGAGCATGGAATAATAAAGGTTTCAAAAGTTCATGTGATTGGCAAGTAGGTGGTCAACACCGGAAAAATTAATTAACGGTGAAATTAAAAACAGTTAAAAGGGTAGTCTTTTACAACATTTTCATTTTAATAGGTGGATTCTTACAACATTTTTTTGTTTATTAGGTATTTCTCACAAAAAAGGGCTTTTTTTAGGTAGTTTTTGACAAAAAGCCCTAAAAATTATCGGTCATTTAAGTTGATTTGAGCACGAAAGAGCTTTAAAAGTTCTTGTTCGAACTTGGCTTGTTAAAAATTTGGATGCTCGATCATTGTTCACAAACTTATTTACTACGTATATACATGCATTTTGGTTTTTAGTTCATGTTTAAATGAGCTTAAAGCCTATTCTGATTGACTGAAGTGAGCTGAATTGAATTGAACTGAACTGAACTTATTGGAGCTGAACTGAACTGAATATTTTATGAAAGAAAGAAATTAAGAATTGAATTGAACTGAACTGAACTGAAAATAATCCAAAGAGAACATGCCCTAAATTAACCTTATCTTTTATATAAATGAACATTATTGATGGAGTTAACTTTGTCAAAAAAAATTTAAAGTTTTATAACACGTACGACTTAATTTAGCTTAAGATTTTACTGATCCCAATCTATCTATACCAAATTTTCTTATGTATTGAAAATTTTGAATTCTTATAAAAAAAATATATACAACGAGATCAACGACAACAAAGTAGTTTTAAGTTCCATATATTTTTATGGCTTTTAACGAGTTATATACATATTCAAACGAAGTTTACAAACAAACTTAGGGCTTGTTCTCATTGATTGAACTCAGCTGAACTGAACTGAACTAAACTGAGCTGAACTGAACTAAACTGAAATGAATATTTTATAAGAGAAGGAAATTAGGAGCTGAACTGAACTGAAATGAACTAAGCTGAACTGAATTTCAACGTAAGAGAACATACCCTTAATGATGAGTTGTTTACGAATCCTATATATAAAGTGAAAGGGGGTTTTGGGTGATAAATTTTACTTTTCCAAAATACCCTTCTCAATTTTGTCTTTAAAAAAAAAAAAAAAAAAATCTAAACAAAAAAATCTAAACAAAAAAACTACCATCTAAAAAGAAAAGAAAAGAAAAAAATCTTCCGTATATTCACACACACAAATTTCGCTTAGCTTGTATGTATAAAACGAGTGGAGACATGAACTTGTGTGACCTTGACTCATTTAAATCACGGGGCTAAATTCTGTTAAAGCTTTTTTATTACTTAAGTCTTAACTAATGATAATTTAACTTATGTTTGACCTAGTTTGTTTGCAAGAAGTTCATAATTAATGTGAGATGTGCTTGTAATTAATATAGATGACCCATGACAAGATGGAAGAAGGCTTACATATGTAAATTCAGTATGTACTAACGTTTATACTAGTGTTTCGAATTTGATTTGAGTAAATACAATTCTGGCTTTTTTTTTTTTCCTTTTAAAAATGTTTTATGTTAAGGAGCCTAAAGGAAGAACTAGCTGAGGAAGGGGTAAAAGAAAGCACACAAAATTAAAGTCATCCCATGCATTATCCTTGCAGAAAATAAAAGTGTTATGGAAAATAAAAGTATTATGGAGTGTGATAAGTTCGATAACAAAAATAAAGAACACATATATATATATACAAAAATCCGAAAAAAGAGTAGTTTGGGAATCAAATTGTATTAAAGATAACTGCAATGATTATGAACACTAAATAGGGGGCAACAAAATTTATGCGATATGAACTGCGCCCTACTCTTAATGAATTTCAATGTTATTTTATCAAGTTAGTTTAACTTTTCTTTTCACTCCCATTGGGTGTGATTTGGGAAATAAACATATATTGGTAGGGAGCGGTACTAGTAAAGTTATAAATGAGCGGACCCAAGCCAAGTTTCAGTCTGTTCAATCTAACTTGAACGACCTAGATATATCAGCTTTTGAAATTCTTAATTATTTGGGCTAGCTTCGCTTGTAAAGAGTTGAGCTCTTACTTAAAGGATCTTAAATGGAGCTTGAATTTATAAATGGGTTTAAAGTTACCCTTTTAAAAAAAAATTAATGTTGTTAAGGAAAACTTGAAAAGAATAATTCCACCTTTGACAAATCTTAATCCCACCTTTACATATTTCAGAAATAATCCTACCTTAACATCCTATATTCTCAAAATAAGCCTTTTGACCTTCAACCTGTTTTACAGATTAATTTTTTTTTTTTCAATAAATTTAATCTTCATTTTTCACCTCACCCCCTTCAACACCATGACCATCACCACTAAATTGACCACCTTCTCACCATCATCACCAAATTGACCACCTGAGATGCAACTAGACCTGGCAATCCCGACCCACACCCGATGACCCGACTCAAATGACCCGACCCATGACCTGAAACCAGTGACCCGAAATTGACCCAAAACCCAAATCAACCCGACCCGAGTGGAATTGACCTGACCTTGACCCGAAATGACCCGACCCGAGATGACCCGACCCGAAATTGACCCGACCTTTAACTTGAATCAATAAGATATTGAGGTATAACTCAATTAGTTAGAGCATCCCTCTTAGTTTCAGGAGATCATGAAATTTATTCTCAATCTAAACACACACACGCGCGCGCGCGCACACACACACACAAAGAAGGTAAATATAAGTCAAACAATTACTATGTTCCTTGAAAAAAGTAGCCTTAATATTGGACTCGACCCGAACTAACTCGACCCAAAAATTGACCCAACTCGAACTGACCCAACCCAAACTTGACCCGAAGTGTTGACCCGATACCCTACCCGACCCGATTATCAATCGACTCGAAAACAACCCGAAACCCGAAATGACCTAACCCAACCCGCCCAAACTTGACCCAATAACCTTTTGACCCGAACTTGATCTGACCCGAACAAGATCCGACCCATACCCGACCCGAATGACCCATTTTCCAGGTCTAGATGCAACCCCTTTTCGCCACCTGAGCCACGCCTACCCAAATCCCACAACTCTCCTGAACATCCACCATCCCTACCCCTTACCTGATCTCAACGACCATCATAGGCTCATAGCAATGCAGAGAGAGATTGAAAGACGAGAATTCAACCGCCGTTGATTACGTTTTGTCAAGCTCCGAGGTTTCAAAACGACAATCGCGTTTTGTAACCAATTCTCAATTATCGACGCCATTTTTCCATCTTTGTTGTTATTCCATGGATCGTTGCTCTATTTTCCAAGCATTTCAACGACAGAATTTGACAATTTTTGGTGATTCACCTTTAATTTCAATTTGTTGGGGAAGGGGATGCCATGTCCAATCCGCACCCCAAATCCCCACTTAACCTCCAAATCGAAACCCACCTAAATCGGAAACCTCGGTCAAAGGGATTCAGACATTTGTCCGACCCATGACTCGATCAACGCGCCAACTGGCCGGCGGATCAAATTGGAGTTTCTTGGCAGTCGGGCAACCTAGCAACAAGAAGTCAACTTCACACACTAAGGGTCCGCATGGGTTCCATGAAGTAATTAAGGGAGTAAAAAACAATGGAGCAAAAAGTACAGAGGGATTTGTTAGGGGGTGATATTACTTTTTCAAGAGTTTGGCATCTTTACTGGGTAAAAGAAAAACTTTCATTCGCTTCATCCTCCATGGCAAACCAAGCTTAAAATAGAGCTACAACATTGGATGGATCACCACATCAACCACCTTATAAACCCAATTCCTTTTGCAAACTACTATTAATGCCTTGCTTATAAAAAATAATACAATAGATCTAAAAAAGGAGAGGCGAAACAAAGAAATAATTCATCAAAAATACTTAATTAAGGTATAATTCAACTCTTTTATGGTAAAATTTGAGTATGAAGGTTGTCGATCTGAAATTATTGGTCAATTTCGAGCTCAAATGAATTAAATTTGCTTACCTTGCTCAAACAAAAATGGAGTACAGTGAAGATGATGGCGAAAAGAAACGACTGTGATGAAGGGAGATAGTAGCATTAGTCGGTGATAAGCCTTGGCAGTGGGTGCCGGCGGAAGGTTGAGGATGGGCTGGTGGAGTGGTGGTAGGAGATGGAAGAGAAAGAGGAGAGAGTTGGAAGAGAGAGGAGTAGTTGTCAGGGGAAATAAATTACTCTAGGGGGGGCCTGGGTAATTTTTACCCCCATATTTAGGGGAATATACTACCCTCTTAAAATATTACTCCCCATCCAGGCAAATAAAAAAATATGAAATTTTCCTCCCATAGCTTTTACCATCCTTTTACTGGCAATCCAGGCGTGCCCTAAGGGTAAATCAGGCAGGGGAGGGAATCAACAGCTGGGTCCGGCGACATCAGACCGGTAGGGGAGGGAATTGAAGAAGGGGAAAGGGAGGGAATCGGAGAAGGGGAGGGAATCAAGAAGGGTGGCAGGCTCGGCTGTTCGGCGGCAGCTGAGTAAGACGATGGAGGAAGCGCTTTGGCAAGGTAAGGAAAAAGAAGCTAAGGATTATTAATTTTTTTGTTTATTTCTTTATCATTTAAAAAAATAACAAAAACCAATTATAAGACAACATGTGGTAAAAGACCTTCTAAACAGGTTATACCAATTTCACTAGCAGGTAAAAGGCTTGTTTTGAGAATATGGGGTATAAAGGAGGGATTTTTTCCAGAATACGCAAAGGTGAGATTGTTTTGAGAAGATGTGCCAAAGGTGAGATTATTCTTTTCAATTTTTCCTATTATTAGTAATTATCTTAAGTTTTCATAAATCCATTAGGTTGGTTCAAGTTTATCTCAATGTCTCTATTACTGAAGCCACGCCCAAAGTTCATGCTTACATTAATGCAGTAGTTTATATTCCTCATAAAAAAAGTACTTCATATCTAAAAGATTTATTTTTATTTTTATTTTTTTTTTTGGTAAAAAAGAGGTATAAAGCAAAATTAAGTCTGCCCCAAGGAGGCTAAAAAAAAGTTATTCAGACATTAGTGATAGGAGCTAACAACGCCCATCAGAGTAAAACACAAAAGACATGCATGTTAATCAATAAGTAAAATTTCAACACTACTTCTCTTGGGGGGGGGGGGTGGGGTTGCAAAACTATAGAGTTACTAGGGAAGGGGCTAATTGTTAATTCCATAAGACATTAGTTCCACTAAGCACCAATCCAGCTCGGTGCGCCAGAAGATGAGCATGCGCCACTTGGTGTCTTTGTTAGACACTAAATACTCTTTATTTGGGTCCTTTGCATAAAATCTTTGTCTACATGTGACATGTTAAAATAGCTATAAGCTTTAATTTATTGTAAATAACAAAACAAATTAAATATGTTGAGAAATTTTTTGCATGTCACACATTAGAATTTTCAAGTTTTAACCAATTATTATGTATCAAACATGAACATATAGTTATTCATGAAGTGATGGACAATAATTATATGAAGTTCTATCTTCAAGTTTTGACACAATTACTGAAAGAAGTTAAGATTATTGTTCAAAAGTTTGTTTATTAATTTAACAAATGAGTTTTGAATGAGATTTTACTACAATTGTAATGGAAAAAATCTTGAGGGAAAAAGATTAAAATGTAAATGATTTTTTAAAATAGATATAGGGGTATATAAGAGACCATGAATAAGATGGAGAGAGAAATAAATGCTTGGATAAACATGAAATAAAATTTTAGCTCAAATTGTAAGAATTAAATTACAATTACTAATAGAGGAAGAATGATGACCTAACCAGCAAAATATGTTAAGGTATTAGAGGTATTCATAGGTCAAATCATACTGGTCTACAAGGACTAGACACTAGAGTTCCTAGTCTAACTAGACTCTATGGAAAAATGTTCCTAAGTAAATCCTAAGATTAAAATTCATGAATTACACTGGACAATAGATAAAAAACTTTTGGCTTAAGACTCAAGCTATACCATGTTCAATTACAAGCGGACACCCGACCAACTAGCTTGAGTCGGGCTTATTATCTCTACAATAAAGACATAATTCAAAATTTGTATTCTTCAATAGCCTCATATGCTAGAAATATGTCTTGAATATGTTTTCAGGTCTTAGAGTAGTGAGCGGTAGCTCGCGAGGTAGCTTAGTAGTTCGTTGACAAGGTTAAGGATTGCGACGAAAAAGAGGAGCTATAGCTCCTAGGAAAGCAAGCTATAGCTCGTAGAGGTATTTATGTGTTGTTGGATCGGGCGAGAGCTCTCTCGTCAGCGAGCGAAAAGCTCGACCGCGCACAACATTGGGAGTCTCTTGCGGCTGGCGAGCGCAAGTCTGAAAGTTGCGCATAAAGGATTGGGGCAACTATGAGTGTTGTGCTCGACGACATTTAATGCTGAGGCGATCAGTGTTTTTCCGTGGGTCTATCTATATTATTACAGAGTGCTATATATACCCCATAGGATTATTTGTAGCCGTATGATCATGAGTTGAGTGATTATTCAGAAATCTGAGAGTCTTTTGTGTATTTCGCATCTGTGAGAGATCTGAGAGAGATAACATTAAAAATCCAAGAGACAATCAATCTGTATTCTGTGATTGGTCTGAAATCTGTTTTGAATATGTAATCCATTTTTCCCAAGATCAATAAAGATTTTCGCTCGCCTGCCCGTGGACGTAGCCAACACATTGTTGGAGAACCACGTACATCCGTGTGTGTTTTTCTTGTTAATTTTGCATTCAATATTTGTTCTTTCTTGCATCCGTTACAACATCATATTTATTTGGCATTAGTGTTTTGTAGCAATCAACAGTAGTTAACAAACGCAAGAGTAATTTGTTAGGTATTAGTTGAAGTAGCGGTTAACGTAGACGTAACTTTTCTTGAATGCCAGATTTACTGGCAGCATTTCAAAGGTAGTGTGTAATGTTTGACAAATTATAATTACTTATTTACAAGCTTACAACTATAGTATATGATTATTGTATTTCAAAATTCCAACCACTGTTTACCATTACCAAACAATGAGAAAAATTGAAGTTTTTCAACATGAGAACACATGTCATGTAGGACAAATTCGTCATTTTCAATCTTTGAGTTGGGGTAATGTTGGAATTTTGTATAAAATTCTAAATTTTTAAGGAAAACAGATCCAAGGTTTCAATGAAAACTGAAAAACGCCAATGTAGAAACAAGGAAACTTCAATGGAAAAATTGAACATGACAAGGTTCGTCAATAGAGTAGGATAATATAATTACCCTTTGGGATTAATACTAATGTAGCACGTCTCTCGTACGCCTCGTAAACCGTTCCTGTTGAGAAACATTAGATGTTTCTCATCTTGAGAAACGGGGCATCCTCCCAAACAATAAGAATATCAAAAAGTATTTAATGTTATTATTATTATTATTATTATTGTTGTTGTTGTTGTTGTTGTTGTTGTTGTTGTTGTTGTTATTATTATTATTATTATTATTATTATTATTAGTACTACTACTACTACTACTACTACTACTACTACTACTACTACTACTACTACTACTACTACTACTACTACTACTACTACTACTACTACTACTACTACTACTACTACTACTACTACTACTACTACTACTACTACTACTACTACTACTACTACTACTACTATTATTATTATTACTATTATTATCAGTATTATTATCATCGTCATCATCATCATCATCATCATCATTATTATTATTATTATTATTATTATTATTATTATTATTATTATTATTATTATATCTCAAAAACAAAAGTCATACAACCTACAATAAATTAGTGGGAAGGCGAGATACAATCTGGGCCCCCACTCCTCTAGCTATAGCAAAACCTACCCTAGTGAATATATGAGCTGTAGCACGAGCCCCAATGTCTTACGTCGTCGAGAACCTCTGAATCTGCTTCAGCAACGCAACAACCTCCTTCTTTAAATCCCCAAGCGAAGAAAAAGAGAAGGGAATGAAATCATATCTAATCTCCAAACAATGAGCTTCATACTTAACCCGCTTTCGATGAGCCACATCAGCCACAACCTGTGTCAAAGGAGAAGACCATGCATGTGAAGTCGACACATAAATCACGACCATGATCCCATGAATAAAGTAACACATCGGAAGGTCTGAGGGCCCCGTCATTCCCTCCAGACAATCCTATGTCAACTTCCTTTCTTGCTAAAATCCCAGATCTGTAGCAAATATCATCAAATGTATCCCGAACAACATTTTGCCGATGTTTAATGCCTACAATGCCAGCACACGACAGCGCATGGTCGTCGAATACATCCCTAGCAAAAACCCGAGAGCAAGCAGAGCACGGTGTTGAGACAGAGAACAATGGAACACCCATACGATTCACAACACAAATCGATATGTCTTAGCGTTCATCGTCTGACCTAATCCAGAAATAGGAACTGCCCGAAGCCAAGCAGAGGTGTGATCACCCTGCTGTGACTTCCACAATGCCGACTGCCGAGGAGACAAAGAATAGGTGGATTTTGCAGAAGCGGTAACCTTTGTGAAATTTATATATGCCAATTTCTTCATGAGTTTAGGGGCAACGACCTCACAAAGATTCCCTAAAATGTCAGACTCAACCGTTCCAGTAAACAGACTCAACGCATCCTCAAAAGCTTGACCAAGACCCAGAATACTAGTACGACGCGGAAGCTGCATCTGCAACCCAGCAGATTGCAACCGAGAAGCAAGAAAAGCATAATGACGAACATCACGTGCGGAATATACACCAAGCCCTCCAAACGCAAATTGTAAGGTGGCAAGCCGCTACTGCCAATCATCAAACCCGGGCCTCGAAGCAGTAACAATACGCTCTAAGGAAGATCAAAGAGCCTTGTCAAAAACGCGCTGAGCCGCCTCGAAAGCACCTGGAGGACAAGTACGCAAGGCAAAGTAGAGTTTAGAAACTCCAGTACATGCCCTAAGTAACAACAACTCACACTGAGGATCATCTAGCATAACAACCTTATCCATAAGTGCAATGGTCTTGGTCACCATCTGCATCACAAGATCGCCACTAAACCTGGAATCAGAACTAACGGGTCTA